CATTACACAATATGAATAAGCTATGCAGACAGTTGTAAAGAAAGAACATCTTTTTCTTCTGTTCTCTACTTGTTATAGTTACACAGTATTAGGGGTGTGGGCTGTATTAAAAGTATCCACTGTTCTCCCATGCTCTAACACACAGTAACGATGAAATGTGTGCTGTTCTCACATTCTTCTTTTCTATGTACACATAAGCAACAAGGCAGGGAAATATAAAAGGAATTTATTTTATTGTTTGGGTACATTATTGTTCAGTGTACATGCTCACATCTGAAACAAACTTTACGTGCTTGATAACTGTCCCACCCCGCAGACATCTACACACCAATACCGATTTATATTCATAGCGGCAAGTGCTATGTAGCTCCACACAGGGGACACAGGAAGTGACATATAACACCTTCATGCGGCGTCATAACCGCGTAGCAAATTCACAGCCGCACCGGCAGAGCTCGAGAATATGCAAATCGGCCGGTTCACGCGCGGACGCGCTTACAAGTGCGAGGGCCCGCCCAACGCTGCTTGCAGCTTTAATTGAATTTAGTTTTTATTTAGTTTAATTTTATTTTATTTATATTTGTTCATCTTCAGTATTGCAGAGGCTGGCTTCTAGACTCAGTTTTTTAACATAAAATAAAAATCCCTTCAATGGTGAATTGGCTGTATTTTATTTCCCTCTGACACATATTTAATATCTGTGTAATCCATTCCGTTTCTTCAATTATTAACTGAATATTACAATCTACAGTCTGAAAACTGCATGAACAAATAGGTATGAAAATGTCCTGAGAAAGTTATGCAACAGATAAGTAATGCTTTACGGAAACCCTAAGAAGCTTATACATTTTATTTATGAGATTGAAAATTTATGTAATTGTGTCGACATAACAAATTTTGTTTTACAGAGATAACCGGACAATTTGCTCAACATCTTGAGATAACAAAACTTTGTTTTCCTGAGATAACAACATAATTAATTTGAGACCTCGAGAAAACAAAAGGATAGTCGAGTATATTAAACGTATGCAGGAAACATCATTCAGTGTAGCAATGTCAGAGGAGCAGGAGAACATTGATCACCGTAGGACTGACCCCGAATAGTCGAAGATTCAATGCTTTGATGGGCGGAGCCTGATTCGACTGTCAATCTCACAGTCGAAGCTTCGCAGCGAAACAAGGATCATGCCACACCATGCGATATGGTGGTGCTCAATGTCTGATTTTACATAGAACTACCAGTTTTCTTACAATAAGTTAATATACAGCCTATTACAATAAACATTTCAATGTTTAATGCTGTAAATAAACATGTAAAAAGAAAAAAACTTTCAATAAATGTTTTTATTTAATGCGTGAATAAATCCAAAATTGTAATCCTAACCCTGGGTCATCAGTGTCGTCAATGTGTAGGCGTAGCGTGTATGTGTGTAGTGGAAGAAGAGACGGAGCCCCAGCTTCACTGGTGTTGTGCCATGTTGTCTGCACCTCGCATGACGGATAATTTCTCACCGTTGATTAACCACACAAAGAATATAATATCGTTATACCGCGAGGAACCAAGACATGTATGCAGTTGTCGGCAGCACGGCATGCACGCAAAACTCTGCACAAGACCAGTGAATGGAAGGGGACAGAGAAAGAAAGAAAAGGGTCAACTATAAGCGTCAGTTTAGCTGGAAATTTACTGTGTAAATTGAATGAATAGAGACTACAGCTCTGCACCTTCTCAAGATTAAAGTGGAGCCACCATGAGTTCCCCCCCCACCCCCACGACAGGCAGGCAGGACTTGACGATGTATGTAAATCCCTAGTCGGGGACAGCCCTAGATCACCGCATCACATCTCCGTTTAATTAAAAATAGTTTTATTTCTTGCTGTTTCAGATAATATACGTATTAGTGTGCGTCATCTAAGAAGACAGTTAGCAAGGCTACAGCTTTATCAGCAGCCTATCACATTTAATTCATTATTGTTTCCTTGAGATCTCAAATTAATTATGTCATAATCTTGAGAAAACAAAGTTTTGTTATCTCGGGAAAACAACATTTGTTATTTCAAGATAATGACATAAATAACTTGAGATCATGAGAAAAACAATTTAATCCAGTATCACGGGAAAACAGAGTAAATTAAATGTATAAATGAATCTCAGGGCTTCCATAACAATTTTAATTGGACCCAGATTTTTGAAGAAGCTTCCCGAAAATGTATTCAATAAACTACTACAGGTGACGTATAAGGTAAAATAACAAATAAATGATGAATAACATTCACATTTTTATGAACATTATTGTTCCAAAAATAACTCTTTGTACTTTGTACTGAGTACAAATAACCTTAAAGCATTGTGTGAGAATTAGTGTACATTTTAACAGAGAGGAGCAGAGTAATTCTATGTGTACTTTCTGTTTTAATTGCAGTTATTCTTCAATGATTTGCAGGAAAACTAAAATTAATCATGGGAAAATGTAATTGCAATGTATATATTGTTTAATGATTTTAGTATTAAGAGTGTTAAATTCAAAATAATTACAAAAATCACAGACTTACCGCCTTTTTGTGTAAACAACACACAGAATACAATGAGCACGATGACCACAAAAGTAAGGATGATAAGAAGGGTAGAAAGCCTCCTCCAACTATAGGATCTCAAATTAATCCACTTATTCATTTTCCTGTATGAAATACTTCAACTACTGCACTGTCTTTCACGCCATGAACTTGTATGCAGTGCAATGAAGTAGAATAAAGTTGAGGTCCTGTAATTTTCAGTCTTGCAGTAAATTTCCAATAAACTCCCCTAATGATCGTCGGTGAATTGGCAGTTAAGTTTGATCCTGTGGCAGTTTTAGGCTATATAAACATTTGTCAGTATCAGATCTACTGTGTGTCATCAATGATCAACTGGTAAACTGAGATTGTTACAGATGTAGTCCCCTCCCTAGGAAAACGTTTTGTGTATTGTGGCATGACGCTGCAGCGTTTACAGGTCCAGATAATGGTGACGTTGAAGTGGACAAGAACTAAGGTATGAGTGGGTGAGGTGGAGTTTAGGTAGGTGTGATTTTAGTAGGAAAATCAGACACCAGTGATTTAATAAACAATGTATGAACAAGTGTATGAACCAAAAGGCTCACTGAGTGAATATGTTTATAATACAGTCAAATACGTGTGTTAATTTTGTGTTATTAAATGTATTCTTTGGCACAAATAAATACATTATGCCTTGATGTACTTGCTCTGACAAGCCATTTGTTTTGTGTTTACTGAGTTATGCATAGCATTATTGATATATGCAGTGTGTTACACCATTGAGGTAACTTTTGTTTATACTGAAACTGTAACTGCATTTTTTTCATCAGTAGAGTGGTATTCTGTAATTTTGTTACAGATATTGTGTAAAATCAATCCTGTAATTCTTACTACAAAAAGTTATAAATGAATGTTTAAATGTTGTTACATTTTTTATTTATCAATACATGTTTTGTTCTTCATACACACCTATTCAGTTGTTATATTTCATTAACTCTGGCAAATAGTATTTTATTTGCTTTGTTGTTGAAATTTATTTCAATCCGATATTTATATGCTGTGGCCATGCCATAATGAAGGTCACGTGACTCTTAAGAAATTTTACATTGAGCAACATATTTACAATATAGTTAATTCAATTCATTAGAATTGAATAGCCATGCTATAAATACACTGGTAAACATGATCCCAGCAAAGTTACTAAACCTTCTCAATAGCACCAGGAATCCATGGGCTGTGGTAAAACACAAATATTTTTCTTGATCTTGAAACCACAAGAGGTTTGGGTAAAGTTCTCCACACCTGTGTTTGCTTATTAGAAGATATGTTCTGAAATACCACGGAACAAAAAAACCCTGAATATTTCATAATGGAAAGCTATAATTTCGTAATAATGGAAGTTATTTGGGGCATTTTTTATTTTTATTTTTACAATTTTATCTATTATGTTGATGAAATAAGTAAATCAGATCATATTTATTGATACCGACCCAGAGTGGAATTGCTGACAATAATTTTTCAGCAACGCCCTGTTGCTAATTACAGTTGAATTTTGAAATGCTCAGTACGGCAACATGTTCAAGAATCAACCTGACTTTTATGCCACAACCCTAAAGGAAATTTAGCAATACCAACAGCAGAACTATTTTAAGTTTTGTATTTGTTTCTGCTGTACTTGTTACCTGGGTGTAGCTAAGTGTGTCTTGGCTCAAATTAGTCTTTTTATCACTACCTTTATCAAACCGCACTTCTGACCTTTTCAAGATAGCGCAAGCACGCAAGGATTACTCATGTGACAGGCACACCAGACAGCAGTTTATATATACTGGAGAAAATTCATCATCAAAATATGACTTATATTTCAGTTCAATTAGTACTTGTGGAACTGTCTCTTTGGTCATCACTGCTAATGATCCCCCAGAGCTCATCGTTGTGCCTTTTGTGAACAGAGCCCAAATAAGCTTTAGGTTGTTAATCACAGAATTAAGTGTGTGGCATGATAAATATTATATTATTGTTGCTTTTTCCATCTTAATCAAGTCAAATCTAGCCTGAAACTACTTATTTACTGTATATGATTCTTTGTGCATTTTGGTGGCCAATACAAGTTAAAACTTACAGGATGACCCCAATGACTGATGGGGGAAAAAATGCCACTTGGCTATTTCACATGATTTACTGTATCATGATTACATAAATATTTGCACTTACATGACTCCTTTCAGTGAAGAGTCATTTTCCAGTTTACAATGGTTTCCTTAACACACAGTACAAAGTGAGTAAGGGTGGAGAATTTGCTATTGAGCCAAAGAAGAACGAAGTGCTGTAAATCGACAAACCCACCCACTTTTCTTTTCTGATTTCTTTCTCTTTCTTTCTTTTACATTACTGATGTTTACTATTAATTCATGTGTGCACATTCACATACACTCATGACCCCCCCCCCCAAAAAAAGACAAAGATGATAGACAAAAGGAGGAGGGATGATTTCAAGGTTCACAATTCAGGTTGAAAGAAAACAAAACAAAACGACTGATCTTTTGATATTCTTGGTGCGGATCATCTGTAAAGGAGAGGACAATAGAAAAAATCTGCAACTTTTCCTGCAAACAAAAGCTATAATATTGAAATACTTTATTTAAGTCAAATAATTGCCTTTTATCGCTCTCAACTCTCAAAAAACATAACATGAAGATATGTCATTTTATCATGAATAATAATATGAATAATATGATGATTTTAATATGAATTGTTGCTGCTAAAGCAACAAACACTTCCAATATTCCATATCTGACGTTGCTACGAGCAGTCCACTCAACAAAACGACCAGTTCTCTCTCATCCTCTTGAACTGGACAGTCACACACAGTCCCCAGCTTTTATTCTCACACTTCAGCCTCCTTCTGTCCCTACTCCAGACCATCCCCTGTTCTTGTAGGTGCTTCTGTCATCTCCATTTGGGCCCTTTGACGCTCTGCCTCTGTTATCGTCATGGGGTGCAGAGGGAAAAATCCAGCCAACCCTGCGGAAAGAGAGAGGGGAGAGAGTAAGACCACAGACATTGCCTGGAGATGCCACAATCTTTCGGAATTGACAATGCTGATACATCATCATTTTAAAATAATTTAAATTCCTTGTACGCAATTTCTGGAGAACCAACCGAGTAACATTTTAGATGCTTGTTATTAGGCTTGGGCAGTATCAAAGTATACCAGTATGACTTTCAATCCCATTAAAAATCCAGACATCCTCTCTCCATTAAACTGATGTGGACATGCTGTATTGAGGTGGTGTTTTGTAGGGGGGCGACGCTGCGTCAGACTGCTTGACATCATCTTTAACACAACAACACAATAACCCACTGCACTTTTCCAGCAGTTGGGAAACAACACAAGCGTGACCGCAGCTTTAGCTGCAACCTTTATTCATTGATAAACTGTAACCTACACTGTACATTTACAACTGAACTTCACAGCTCACATTTTCCTCTGCTCTGCTGCATTCACCGTCACTCTCTGCTCCTTCTCTCTACTTCTCAACCACACACACACCCAAAAAGGAGCTACTTGATGGCAACTGCAAGTAGTGGAGATAATATTACAGGACTAGTAAAAAAGAAAAATGCATCTGCACCTGTTTGGGAGCATTTTGGGTTTAGCCCCAATGATAAAGGCAGGGGTCAGCGATCAGGCTAAAAAAAAAATAAAAAAAAGAATTTATTTAATCGCAATCATGATCCACATTCTAAATTGTGATCTTTTTTCTCAATTTTGAAATTTTCCTGTAGACTATAGCCAGTCTTAAATAGCCTATGAATATCTCCATTTCACCATTAAAAACAACATTACGTTAAAGATATTACATATTACTTCACCTACGGAAGATCCACATTAAATAATTCATCCAATAAGCATAGCCATCTAGTTGGCTACATCCATCTATTGGTTTGTACAGTGGATTAGGTAGTCAATAAGGTTATTTGAAGTTTGCAGGTATAAGTAAATGGACATTAAATACCGCAATCTATATGATTTGCATGAGAAGTCTATTGTGGATGCCTTAGATCACAATCTCAATCTAAAATAATAAGGTTGCCCACCCCCTAAAAAAAGTGAGCCAGCCAACATGGTCAAAGCTGTATGCACATCATCTCTGTTCAGCCTACTGACGGGCCTCCGTTGCAGCAACAAGTGTCATTGAGTCCTCCAGCAATAATCAATGGAAGAAAGGAGCTTATTTCCTATCCATTCATCATTATTCTATAGGCCAGAAGTTTTTAAACCAAGCAAGACTTGCAGGCTAATTGCATATTACACACACAGCATTGTAGGCTATACAATGGCATAAATGCTACAAGTGTTGTGGTGGCAGCCCGGCTGAGGGTGAGTGTCCTGGTTTTTTCTCCTTTTTATCAATTTTTCTGCTTTTTTCCTTGGTTTTCTGTTCCCTACCTGCCTCCCTGTGTTTTCTCCCCTGTGTGCTCTCTCTCCCTCTGCTCCTGAGCCCAGCCAACTACCTGCACCTGCATCTCATCAGCCACCTCGTCAGCCTGCCACACCTGCCAATAATCACCTCATGACTGCCTGTATTTCAACCCCGGTTCTCCACACCATCCTCGCTTGATCGTTGTTGCTCCATACCCGGTGCCACTTCCGTGTTCAGGCTTCCATGTTTCTTGTTTTTCCACATTTTCCCTGTGCCTTGTCGCTGCCATCCCTAACCCTGTCTCTCTGTCTGTTTCCCTCCCAGGTACACTCACCCTCGTCCTCCCTTCAGTCAGCTGGGCTCATCCACCGGCCCTCTCCGCCTCAGACTTCCCTCACGGCGTCCTCCCAGTTCTCCCACCGCTCCTCGCTTCCTCAGCCCCAGTGTTCCCCGGCTCTCTGGCCCCTCCGTGGTTCTTCGTGCCTGTGCTTCCCCGACATCCACCTCTTCCTCCACTCCAGTCCCTCTACCCCTTTCTCCCTCAATAAACCTCCTTCTCTCCAAACGTTGCATTTGGGTCCTCTCTGTCCCCACACCACACCTCGCAACAACAAGGACTTCAATCACCAGCAGCTCAGCTTTTACATTATTTTTGTTGTTGTTGTTTTGTTTTTACAGAAATACCATCATATACCACGGTGAAAGGAAGGTATAAAGGTATGGAAAAATAGGCACCGCCCAAGAATACTTGTTATGACTATAAAATACATATTTTATGTGTATTTGTACAATCCTTTAAACCAGAGGACATGGGCTAGGTACGTCAGGGTACAGTGAACACATAATAGTACTAGACTGTAGTCATAATCTATGGTGGCATAAATATATAAAACAGTTCAAGGATTCTAAAGAATAGGAAACACACGGAAGTATATATCTAGATGAGTCTTGTGTGCTCGTAAAAGGCATGGATTGCCCTCCTTGATTAAACAAACCTCTGAGTAGCACAATTCTGAGCAAGCCAGCAATAAAATTGAGCAATGTTGATCCACCTTAAAGTAACATGCTCATGCAGTGAATACACACCTAGAAGTTTGGCCACAGGCTTTGTAGGGTGTGCACCACAGCCGATCCAGTACTTGATCCGGTCGAAGTTGCAGCTGACAAGTTTCTCGTTGTAGAGGTTTGGGAGGGGGTCGTAGGTACCCAGCTGCTCTATATATTTACCATCTCTTGCCCTTTTGTTGTAAGCAGCCACAATGCGATAAAAAGGTCTGTTAGCTTGTTTGTGGCCCGCAAGAGCCAATCGGATGACCACATAACCCCCGTGGTACTTTTTTAGCAGGAGTGATGCTGCAGAAGGAAATGAGCATTGTCAAAAAGAGCAATAAAATGAGTTTCTTGTAACTGTTATACACCTCACTGCATCAGTGAGAGATGAATAACCAACATTCTGTAGACAGTAGATATACTGTCAGAGGCCTTAACCACTTTGTGCAACTCATTTCCTGAAAAGCATATGTTTTATCAGACTGACATCTTACTTCATGTATTGATCATATAGTGTGTCTGTTGCTTTTCTCTTATATTGTGAAGCACTTTAAGACATCTGCTCTACAAAAGGTGTAATACATATACTCAGTTTATTACTACATACACCTAGCTAAGACTAATGCAGTCTAAATCCTACCTTTATAATGTTGAGTGTTTTTTGTTAACAATGATTTAGAGAGGTTCTAAAATGTCTACAATTACTGATATGGATGGAGTGGACAAAATATAAGAAACATCTCTCAGTGTATGGCAATATAAAAGAAAAGCACCTGAAACTACCTCTTCTAAAATGATCATATGAGTTAAATCAATTTCTCTAAAACATTATAACCTTCATGAAGGCAGGATTAATTGCCAAACTGTTTTCACAAGGTGTCCTTAATAAAAGGGCAACTGATGGCATATTTGTATTGTATATTCATACTGTGTCAAATCAATTAGTGGATAAATTGACTGACAGAAAATTAAGCAACAATAATTTTGATGATCAATTAACCAATACACTTAATCAAGCAACAATGACAAATATTATCTAATTCTTGCTTCTCAAATGTAAATATTTGCTGCTCTAAAGAGTTTCACATTATTTCATATTGCATATCTTTGTGTTATTTATTTGTAAAGACATTTTAAGATGGTCTCTTAATTTTTCATTATTTTTTACCACACTATGCTTTACAATACCAGTAAAGAAAATGAAAAATGTTAGTTTAGCCCCACAGTCATTGTAATAAACTTTACAGTAACGTTATGGCTCCAGTAAATGCCCAGCAAATTTTGTTTACTATTTGAGAAAGCTGTCTTGTCTGTTCAGGCTGCATAACGTTACTCACATAAATGAACCATGGTGTTGGCTGGATTATCCTGCAACAGACAAAAAGACATCTTTATACCGAAGTGTATATAAGCACGTTAAATATCTTTCTAAACAACGCCAGCAGTGAGTGTCATACTGTTACACATTTGCTACATATCAGATAACCCTGAAAATGTCATTAAATGTCAAGAGCTAAAGGCTAACTTTAACAGTACAGAGAATCTCCTGTTTGAAGTCTACGTGCGGTTTGGAAAAGAGTAAAAATTTGCTAAATACCTCTGCGGATGTTTAACGTTGTAAAGCAAAATCTTCCTAGATGTCGCCCTTTTTATTCACCGTTCATGCGATGTAATTAACAGCAATAACTGTAGATTTCAGCAGCAGCAGAAATAATGTGACTTTCGTCAGTGCGCCGCCATGTTTAAACAGGAAGTTACGTAGCTGCCTCAACGTCATTGCAGCCCCGTGACGTTAGATGGCGCTGCTGCACTACATGAAGCTGAGGACCTACACTACTATGCATTGCATGAAACTGAAGACGTGCACTACTTTGCACTGCACAAGAATGTTAAACTTCGTAATTCGTTTATGTTTCAGTGTGAAATATTCTCTGACACATTAAAACTATTTTCAAGAATTCATGTCAGCCTTGAAAATGTCCCTCAAATTAGAGAAGACGTAGACATGGCATTCAAGTTTTATAATGTGTTTTTTTTATTTTTATTTATAGTCACTTTTGGTCAGAGGTGATAGAAGTACTCTGATTCTTAAGTAAAAGTAGTGATTACAATTCATATTATTACACTGAAATAATATGTTATAAGTAAAAGTCCCTCATTCAAAATTGTAAAAGTACAGAAATATTACAAAATGTAAAGTAAAGTAAAGTAGTAAAGTAAAAGTCCTACTTATTACACAGATTGTTCCCCTTTGAATGTTATAGACTAATAATGTATACTGTTATATTGTATATACTGTAATATGTACAATAGGATACTATTGTATTATTAATACAGATACATTAACATGTAAGCAGCATTTTAATATTGTAGCTCGCTGAGGTGGAGCCAATTTAAACTACTTTATGTACTACTGGCTAGTTCGTTAACATCATATTTTATGAAAAGATCTTCAGATACTGCTGTCAGATAAATGTAGTGGAGTAAAAGCACAACATTCATACAATAATATTATAATATTACGCTAAATACTGGATGTGTGGAATAGTCAGAAGGTGTATCAAGTAGCAAACAATGGAAACACTTGAGTAATATAAAATGTCCTCACTTCAGTTCAGTTTTTCAGTAAATGCACTTAAAATTAAAATTGTACCACTGCTTTTGGTGATAAATTTCAGTGCCTTGTTGTACAGTATGCAGCAGCTACATTTATTCTACAATTGCGCTCATTGTATGTCTCAGTGGTGAATGCAGCTAAATTACTGAAATATGTGAATATAAATGTACCTACAGTTTAAGCACATGAATAATCCAGTCTTTATTTTCAGTAAAGGTAATTGAGCAGGAACAAAGATAATATCATAAGCATGACAAAAAAACAGCAGTTACATTTAATTATGACTTATATATATAACTTTTATATATTATATTCACAACACAAACCTGGAGTAATGCACATGTAAATATCTGCCACATTGTTCTTTCTCTACACATAGGCTAGTTCTATTATTTTTTATCTGTTTATTCTATATTATATATTTTTACATATATGTATGTCTACTAGCTCTTTCTGATTGATTCTGATTCTGATAAATATAATGACCTGCCACTACAAGTTAAAGGCTGTGCTGTCAGTCATGTCGTCTTTCACATCTTCCTTTCCGTAATTTCTTTTCTACATGTGTTGTGTGTCTCACATTAGCAACACACTGAGGTTTTAAATCAGTTTCCACTGTTGACCCCAGCAGATATGAAACACTGATTTCCTGAGAGCATTCATGAATTCAGGGGTCATAGCTTTGCCTGATGTCGTCCAAGTGCACATAGATATCTGCCCACTGGGACTACCCTCCCCCCAACTCAGTCTTGGAACATGGTGATTTCACACTCCTGTGTGTGTGTGTGTGTGTGTGTGTCTATGTGTGTGTGACAAACACATGGTTTTCTGAGAGGAGAGGTCACTGACGAGAGGTCCTTGTTTGTGATTTTGAAAATATCTTACTGTCCCTGCGTGACTCTTCATACGTAAAGGAATTGCGTATACCTGATTACAAACAGATAAAGAGACATTCCCTAAGAATATTTGTAAAATACTTATTTCTCATTTAATTGATTAATCCTCTTTAGAACAAATTTTATTGAAAAAGACACATACCAGGTTCCCACTTTATGCAGAATTTCTTCTGTAATGTTTAACTAACTTGTCTAAATTATGAACTATTAATACAGCACTGATGTTACTGTAAATTATTTCATGGAACACATGCCAACTGCTGAACATAAAATGCTTTAATTACCAAAATGAGAACTACTGTTTAAAACAAATCTAATTGAGTTATTCTATCACACTATCCAAACACTCACACATCTTAACTGAAAAGAAAAACAAGATTACAAGGATATTAGTTTAAAAACATTTGAACAGAAATCATTTTAGCAACCAGACAAACAACATAACACAAAACATTTGCTTCTCAACGACCAGGGATGGAATATTCAAGAGGAAAGCGTCGTTATTGAGTTGACCACGTTTTTTCTCTGGAAAAATCTAAAAATGAATAGAAGCTTTACTCAGTTAGGCAGCAAACAAAATGCATCTTACATGGTAAATCGGCAATGCGTGATTATCTGAACAGTGACATTGATTCTAGTTGTGGCTCACTCTCTTGTGAGGACCCCATGCTCTTTGGGATACCAAGACGAGTTGTTCCTTTTCTAATCATCTGTGACAGTTCAGTTAGAGACGCTCAGATGATCAGATATTTTACTTGGAAAAAGGATGAGTGGTTTGCTTTAAACGAAGAAGGCGGCTCCGGACTTTGTAGACAAAGATGTCTGAATTTAATTTGATTATGTGGAAGATGCTACTAATGGGCCTATCTTCTAAGCACTGACCTTTCTCTTACATGCTCTTACAAACACCTCTCAGTACCTCTGTAAAATCATTGAGGTCATGGGTTTCACTTCATTTTCATAGTTTGTAATGTTGATTTAGGATTTCAGGTACATTGATAGCCCTTTTTTCTCTGCATGCAATATAAACATAATAGATCTTTCTTTATTAAGCAACTCAAGTTTAGAATCACGTAATTGCTTTGTTTTGAATCAATTCTTGGCACATATCTCTAAAACTGCAGACAGTTATATGGTCTGCTTGATATAGTCATTCAAATAATTAGAAAGAAGAGGCACCATTGACTGATGCAGAACTTTGGTCAGGTGTGTCTCACAATAGTGTGTCCGCTAACATCAGAGCTAGGAACAGGATTTTACATTAGAGCTTCTGTTAACGCTGCCACACACCCCAGAAGTTGCATAAATCCAAGCCTGAATTGTGCTTCAGATGTGGAATTGAAGAGAGCTCTGTTTTACACACTTACCTGATTACACTTTCTTTCATGATTAGTAGACTATGGTGTGACACACTGACAAAACAAATCACTTTGACATGTTCAGAAATACATTTGTTCACATATTGGTGGAGAGACCACTCTTACATCCATCCATTAGCTCAGCTAAAAATAAAGACTGTAAACAGGCGTCAATGGATTCTCTGGCTCAGTCATAAGGTAACAGAATCCGCCTACCAACACCTTTAAAGCTCACTAATGACCATTTAATCTCATTCATTTAATCTATACACAAACAGTAATGTACACAAAGGGTAAAAACAACAATATTTCATTTTATGGCCGTTATTTGCTGGACTGTTTCTTGGGTTAGAGGAGTAACTCACATGGTTTTCTGGCAACTGCTACAAATGTTAATTAGTGAGCTTAAGAGGTTCTGGTAGACAGTTTTTGTTACTCTTCCACAGAACCAGGCTAGCTGTTTCTCTGTTTCCAGTCTCTGTGCTAAGCTTAGCTAACTGACTGCTTGCTGTAGCCCTCTTTAACAGACAAATATGAGAGTGGCATCGATCTTCTCTCTGAAAATATGCGTTTTTCCCTAAATGTCTATTATAGTGAGTATTATTTCAATCTTCCATTGGATCTAGACCTTTGTTTATTTATACATTTTAGAAATATTAGTGCATATCTAAAATTATTTTAAATATGTGAAGCAATCATTTGGAAGTCGGACTCCCCTCTTGCTACTGGATAAGTTTCAGAAAACAACTGCACCCCCCTTGAAAATATCACAGTCTAGAAAGGGGTACAATACCTTCTTAGAGATTGACATGATACCCATATGCCTATGGGTGGTAACTGTTATAAGAATGTGCAGCACATTGGCTGCCCACTGCTCCTAATGCTTAGGATTTCATTAAGTGTTGCACTGTGTATGATTGTGTATGTGACAATAAAAAATTGATTTTGATATGATTTTGAATTTTCTTTGTCTAACTTTGAAAACATCTCTTTGTAGTGCACCTTCTTGTGTGTTGTGTATGACAGGTTTTAAAGCACAAATGTATACACATTGGGCAGGACCTCCAAACACAGAAATACTGTTCAGACATTTTTGGCCATGTTGACTATGCAATTCACTTGCTCGCCTTTGAAATGTGTAATGAAGCCATTAGAGTGCCCCCTAGGAAACCCACATTAACACTGGGAGGGGATGCAAACACTAACATGTGCCAGTATTCAAAATGGTACAGGGAAATGTTCAGAATGGGAAATGTTTTAAGTTTGTTTTTTGAAAGGAACACCATATGCATAAGATTCATAAGATTAGTCAGAATAAGGGATCCTTTCAATCAGAGACACCGTGTGACTTCTGGTCTGTGAGCTCTTTGTGATGCCCTCTGGTTTTTTAAGTATCTGTATCCAGCTTGAGCAGAAATAGACGTTATGGTTGCAGAGAGCACCTAATGGAAAGACAGGATTTGGTCACAGATGGGGGGTCAAGTGATCTCTCTTCTCTGGAAGGATGTTTCAGATGGTTGTGGTGAGACTAATTGTTATAGCATGCAAAATGGAGGCATTACTTTTATCTTAATTAACAAAGAGACCTTTTCTTTTCTGATAATTCTTTCCTAAGATTTGTCTACTCTTGCAGTCTCTCAGTAAAGCCAAAATGTTCTGTGTTCTTTGGAATTGAGAGGCATGAGGTTGCTTGCATCAGTCAACAAATTTTGTGGGTGATAGACAAAACCAACTACATACATATAGCAGTCCTTATTCACTGATTTGACAACAACAACTAAGCTTTTATGTATCACTAATTATGTACCAACAGTGTTAATTTACCAAAGCAAACTGTTGTGCTGCCAAAATGGTACTCTGGATCCCTTTTCAAACATCAGCAATCA